GCAAATGGAAATTTTGAAGCCTCTACAGCTACAAAGTTGCCATACTGTTTTGTTACAGTTGGCCGTACAATCCCTTGGAGAGTGTAGCTACGCGCTGCGGATGTAGTCGGCGCATTGTATACTAAGGTCATGTTCGCTGGGTAGGTAAGAGCATTGTTGGATCTGTAGCCATTGTTCCGGCTTGGAGAGTTCCTTTTGCGGCCATGACACGACATTAGTGAGTGTTCGTTCTTCTCCACACCTGCAAGCCACTACGGTAATCAGTTACCGCTTTAGTCCCCATCGATCTGCCGTTATTTAAAGGTCGTAAGATGCATGTCAATCCTGCTTTCCCACATGATATTTACATTGCAATTTTATGTGATTGCTAAGCTTGAAATACCAGGTAACCTTACGGTCCTGATATGACCGCCATCAAGCACTGCACACGCATTGTAAGCGTAAGAATTGGAGCAATGTTCCTCCTTCAACAATGATAAAAGTTTTCGCAGTAGTTGCCAAGTCTATAACAACATGTGTGCCGGCGTACATACTTGACTGCTTCTACGGCTGGCTGAAACATGGTCCATTTCAGGATTGTTGGGCTCGGTTGCCATTTGTAAATGATTGCAAAAGTGCTGTAGTCGCTCTCGTGGGTGGGACAAAATTGTTTCTCTGTTCTGAATTACCAGAGTCAAATGCTTGCGCCCCCAATAATTATCGGCCTTGATGATTTTTCTTGCAGGACGATGTGGCATTTATATATACGGTAGGCTTAGCAGCACTTTTAGGTGTTTCTTTGTTAATTAATACCGATTCCATGAGGATAGCGTTCCTGTCCATGGAAGTAATAGAGTGGTTCCATCTGCATTAACTATGTTTGTAATGGTGCAATTTGGAGAGCCCATAGTCAACGCATCTCAACACCTATGGGCAAATGTATGAAAGTAAAGCCTAAGTATCCTATGAATACATAGGTTCCCCATCATTTTTATAAACTTTACATAAGCCAACCCCAGTTGACACTGAAGCGGTAACCAGTTAACAAATTCGCCCATGGGTGTGCAGACAAACGAACACTCACCAATGTCGTGTCACCGCCACACGTGGAATCATATTAGTTTGTGTTTAGTCATCAGCTGTGATAGAAGTAAGCACCCATAGGACATTCGTTGTTCAGCTTCAGGTTGATCTACCTACTTCAATGGGAACAATGTCCCCGATGGTCGTCGCAATAACAATTGCACGAGATTGTCCAACCGCCTAGCAGCCATTGCTGATTCAGCTTAAGGTGTGCAGTGTCCTCGCCACGGTGAATGTCTGACCGACTGCAAATGCAGGCCTGCATGACTCCCTCAGAGCTAAGGGAATGTGGAATACCAGTTAGAAGAATGCCTGTCTACGCCACCATCGCAACCATAGTTAGGCCACGGAAATAAGCCACCACCACGTAGCGGCCAGCGATCAATAAATATAGCGCTTCATGTGATGGCTATTATGTCTGTCCGCATTGGTTACGGCGTAAGTTTCGGATCATGTGGTAGCTAGGATCTCCTCCTTAGACAGGCATCACAAGTTGCCCATTGGATGGTTTCAGTTTGGAGAGAAATCATCGGGGTTTCCTTCAGCCGCGCATCAGGGCAGCAAAGAAGGTTGTGCTCGACCCCTTTCATTAGGCTGTCTGTCGGTCATACTCAAAGATTCCAATCGATGACCCATTCGCTAACGTCCCATGAACAATGAGTGTGTCAACGACGCAATAACCGCGTCCGAAGTCTTGTGAAGTTGAATGAACAGTACACCATTTCGAAAATTTGCCACGCTGAAAGCTTCGTACGATAAGCTAACATGCTTGTAAAATGGTATAAAGCTACGCGCCGCGAGTGAGGGTATCGGGAGAAATCGCCACGCTTACTACTCTTATTTAATTTTCTTTGCGAGCCGCATATGTTTGACAATGGGCGTTTTGGTGATAACTTCCTTACCAATAAGACAAACCGTACAGCTTTTCCGATTAGGCGGAAGATTTACTTTGAAGTTTATTGACTTTAAATGTTTCCCTTGTTTTGGATAAATGCAAATGTTCGAGCCTACCTGTCTTGAGACTGACGATCTGTATAGCCGTCCCATGGAAGTTTTGAAGAGTCTTCGGAAAATAGGGCTTCTCTTCTGCGATGATCAGTGTTACATGCTATTAATTGTTGGGTCAGTATAACTTCTTCACATCCTTCTCTTGACGATAACATATAGCCCACGCATCAGCCACCACCTCGTCAACTGGCCACCTCGCCGGTTCGCCTTACTTGATGCCACGACGGCGCGTAATACACGTCGAATAATATTCATGTTGGAGAGTATGACCAACCAACGCTATCTGTTAAATTGCAACGAACACTCGCGTGAGGTTTCGGAAGGCTTCTAGCCAAAAACCAACTGGCAAAATTCATCGTTCCATACATGCTACCAACAGATATTAGCGGCATTCCGGGAGTTAAACTCGTTCAAGGTTGTAATGTTCAAACTGAGGATTATCCATGTCTCGGATCATTTTCGCAACATTATGCACCTTAACGTGCACTAACAGCCTAATCCCCCGCTGTCTCTATATGGGGTATAACAACTAGAAACCTAAACTGGCCCTGCTGAGACTGGAAGTGACCTCTTCAGTGATGTGATCACCACAACTGATACAGCTATCACAATAGGTAAACGGATCCACCACTTTAATTGGCTGCTCCGTAATTCTTCAACAAGTGGCGTAACGGTCCAATCTTGCGACAATGCTGTTAACTTTGAAGGTAGCAAGTACATACAGGAGCCTCCAAAGCTACGCAGCAGCCTGTCAACTAGTGTTTGTATAGCCACAACATCACCCACGAGGAGAGATATGTTGTCCGCATGTTCACGGTTTTTAGTCAGTTACCCAGCAGAGCATTTACTTCGGAAAATTTTGGTATTAAAAAGGCACTCATATTTATTTTGTTCACAAAGTGAATACATGATGGGGATAAATGTAGAAAGAGGTGAAATCCACATTTCATGTGGAGCTTAGGAGACAGATTTCCGTAGGCTCTTATCTAACCGCATGAATCAAGCCAAATACATTTCAGAAGGAAGGTAGGTTTAACTGACACATACAGTGATCGGCGGTGACACAATCTGCTACGATAGAAGGATTAAAATGTGTCTTTGTGCTTAAGAAGATAGGGAGTCAATCACTTTTACGTGAAATTGATGCATTGCGCAATGCGATAGTCTCTTTATGGTTCTGCTGGGATTTTACACAGCGATCAAGACAGACCTTCAAGCATCTAACGCCAATTTGCTCTACCGACGAGATCCACAAAATTTAGCGATCCATTCTCCTGCGCTGCAAGATCGTGCGGTTACCCATACTCACAAAATGGCTGCTAAGCTATGTTTATATCGAATCAATGAGCCCAGTGAATATAAATTGAAATCTTTCGTTGCACGGGATTTAAATCGCTGTTTACACGTTGATATTAGAGAAGAGAACATTCGTAGACCATAACGTTTTTTACACTAGGTGCCGTTTAATGTCATCTATCGCATAGAACGCGTATTCCTTATCCTACCCCACAGAGAACGCGGTGATGATAGCACTGACTGCTTCAAAATAACCAATGTTGAATCCAACATTATAAGATCAATCACTTCCAGCGATACCGGATGGAGCATCATCTGCTCTCTGCATACACTGCGACTCGATGCACTTACAAACACGACAGCGTCCAGTGCTGAAGCCTAAATGCTGGTCATGTACTATAGATGAGTTTACTCATAGCACATCTGAGAGACTGACGTGCTTTTCATTTTCTCAGCAAATTCATCGCTGCGTCGAACAAAATCGAAAAAAACTGTAAAATTTGTCGACACCTAAAAGGGCGATGCCGTAAAAAACAAATAGAGGCCACCAGTTTTATTTCACCACAATTTTAAGCAAGTTTCATTTCCTTCATTGGCTCTGGTCAGTTGCGAGGGCGTAAGTTACGGAATTTTGCATCTAATCCACAACGTCGGACTATCAAATATTACCGGGCAGTAGGTGGCAAAACAACCTCTAACCTCAGTTCCAGCCACTCGTTTGGCACACGCATTGATGACACATTGGGGGCTCGCTAGAGTCCAATTGCACTGGTGCCTCCCAGCAATGGCATGTGGTTTCACCACCTGGACTCGCAGTAAAGCTAGCCGTCGACTATGGGAACAAGCTTATATTGACGAATCACGTGGTTCCATTCTAGGAGGAAACTGTATAAAGTAGTTCAGTAGTACCGCTTTCACCTAAAAGGTAAACTGTTTCAAAATGTTAGTCTCATGATATACACCGAGTAGTACGCCGTTTGTTTGTCTAATGAGGACCACATTTTATGTACATTTTATGTACATACACGTCTCTGGACACAAACAAAACGCTGCTTCCGGCGCTTCTCGAACTTTTCTTCATAACTCTACATATGCATGTTCACCACACGTGTCGTTTATCTCAGCGACATATTAAGTTGCATCCGTAATAATTTACACAGCCACTTATTTGTCCTTCTAATTTTCAAACGGTTGGCTGCTTTTGTTATTATATAGTCCATAATCGACCATTAGATGAACGAACATTCAGGTATTAAACAGTTTACAGTGGATTGCATTCTTTAAATAAAACCAAACAGGACCATTATTTACATTCTTCGTCCGCCATGTGAAAGACCCAAATGAGTATAAATATGGGATAATGGTTTGAACTAAAAGAAGCCAGAGCCCTCGTACGCCGCTTTTCTGCACACAATTATTAACATTGTTAACTATAATTTGTATGTCCAAAATTGATAGCTTGTATTTCATGTTTTGTATGGTAATTGGACATTCGCTCTCCAAGAAACATACATAAAAAGGATCTCACAGAGATTAAAGGGTGAAATTTTAACGAGAGTGAAAGATGTGCGATCTGTTCAAAAGACAATATATGTGTTATACACTGCGGATGGCCTCAAGAAGATATCGGCGTATTAACGGCATAATCTGCGAAATATAGAAAATAGAAAAGCGAAGATGGGTTTACCGCGTTTCACAGTGTTTTAGTTGAAACCAAATAATAGTGTAACGCACATTGACACATGCAGGACTTATATGCTATGTAATTCTTCCCTCTGCGAGAAGCAATACAGGTAGGTAAACAGTTTTCTATGCCTTTATTACTAAAACGGAATTTTTGTAGTAGGTTCAAGTGGATTACCAATCTAGACTGTCTGAACTTTGACTGTGATTATTTTAGCCATTGTTACATGCTGTGGCGCGCAGAGATCGATGCCAAGGCGGAAAGATATAATGAGCGAATTTAACCATGCATACCTGTCTTACATATCTCGACGTAGCTTCTTTATTCAGTGCCGCTGTAGAACTTGCTTGTTGAATGTTTATTCCGGCTGTCATTTTACCTGAAAGTGTATACGACTGACCTCCCCTAAAGCATGTTAATTACGCAACGACATATTAGATTCTAACTTATCCGTTATATCTGTCTCAGAGTATAACTTTGGCATTTACACTCAAAGCTATTAATTTAACGAGCCAACAAATCGCAGCTGTCGCAACGTAGTCATCCTAAGGTTGCAGGCAACAGTGTCAAAACTTGTCAATTTGGCAATGAAGAGCTTCGCTTCAACGTTTGCATATCACTTTCCGAATATTTTATCGATTACTAGCTTAACGTATGTGAATGTAATCCCCCAGATGTAATTCTATTGCCTTTCACTGGCGTACATGGAAATATGGACAGCTTATTATGTAGTTAGACAAAGAATAGATGTCTTATTTACTAAATTGACGAGTCTTTGATGACAACTCATTATTTTCAACCAGATTTGTGCCCACTTTAACTGGCCTTGGAAATGAGAACATGAAATAGTGCATCTCAGCCAATACTATTTGTGTCGGTATTACGATTTTAACTGTTAATATATGTTGCCTTTTTATATATCCTCACTCAACAGATCACATTCATCATTCCTATTACAAGAAGCACAGAGATATCTCACTGTCTATTTCAGTCAATACCAAGGTACAGATATATCCAGTTGTTGTTGAGTGGCAGAAATCACTAGTTCATATTTTCGAAGTGGTACCGGTTGAATTTTCAATGGCTAGCGGATAGTTAGTTAAGTTGACCAATCAAACTTATGTCGTTCATAAAGACGGTATATGACATCAAGTAAAATATGCGCTCACCTAGGTTGATTCACAAGTACTAAGCCAATATGTTCTGGAACAACAGACCAGTCCAGATAAACTGTGGTAGTGCAACCATCACTGTCTAGGTAGGTGACCGTCTTGTCTCCAGTCTGATAATATCTCCTTCCGGAAAAGTAGACAAATGGCTTACCTAAATGAAATTTGGTGAAATTATAATTGTATTGCAAATTGTACCGTGGTTATCATACTGTAGCTCAACTACATACTTAAAAGCAGTACTCATGCAAACCAGTGTAAGGCACACAAGAACAGCGCAACCGGAGTTCATCACAAAATATCTTATTTCTAAAAGATCAAGGAGTGAAATATTGAGTAAATGAAATTTTCATGATGAAAGTACAACTAGGTAAGCACATCAAAACCTATCGTTTCGGCGCTTTATGCGTGATATGGCGGGTCAAGTTCACCTATAAAAGTGCGTAAACATTGGGGTAAATAGATCTTCCGACGTTGAATATGTGTGGTCTTTCCCGATAAACGCTGACTATTGTACCGTAGGGCAAAAAATGATGTACATATGTGAGAAGATTATGAGCCAGCTACATACCACAGTACCTCCTCCGACACAGTCAAATGGCGGCCGAACTTCATGTTATGCCTGTTATTTATAGTAGATGCCTCACGGAATTCGGTCGTTGGGTTCTATGCATAATATTGTCTTAGCAAGCGTAGCTTTCGTATATGCTAGTGGCCTCCACCATCATTTTGTCGATAAGTAATAAATTTAGGCTAATATTAACAAAGAAGTCGATAGTGTTTTTGAGCAACAACACAGGCGACCAACTCGGTACTAATTTCACATTCACTGGTTGGGGTTTAGAACGAAATTCCGAACGGACATGATCATGAGTATGGTCAGTTTAATTCATAACAAGTGGTTACTTTTCAGACAGTCCAAAAACAAGTCTCTGTAGGAGTTTGAATTTAACACTATACTCAGCTTGCTGAGCCCTGAGTGGTCTATTTTAGATACACCGCTTTAAATTTACGGCCTTGTTTTCGTGAAAATAGTTCAGTTACCCAGCAGAGAACCAAAAATCGTGACGATGAAATACGTTGTGGAAAGCCATTAAATAGTTAGCGAACAAAGTCCACAGTGCTGGGTATTTTTTTACCCATACTTCATTCGTTACAACAATAGTCTTCTCCCCTGCAGTGGTATCCGGCACCCATTACCAAGAAGCTACCTTAACAAAGCAGGGCAACTTTGTAGCTGTAAATGTTTTACCATTTCTATTTGCGAACGAGTCCCAATGTTACCACCTGCTTGCGAATTACTGTATTGCTTCCGATTACCTCATACTATCTTAACATCCACATGCATTTCCTAAACGAAAGCGCACACTTGTTGATTCTTCAGATTGCTCGCAGTGACACGATTACACCATACATACGGTAGCACGTGTGGCCAGATAGGCAAGCCATCAAGGAAGACAACTGTACAGTCCACCCATAAGCCTTCAAAGCTTCTCTTCCAACAGCCTGCAAGCTTTGCAGCCTCAATACCATCAGCCAATCCGCTTATTATTGCTATGAAATTAGATGTTATCTCGCACACGTGGAAGTCCAAAATCTGCTAACGCCAGATTGTCAGCATGACCAAGCACGTATTATGTCTTCGATTGGCTGATCACCATCGACACTATAGAAGTGTGAGGGTACACCGACTGTGAACAACAGATGGGCGACGGACCGACCGGGATAATCGTATAGCGAACCCGCAAGCGCACCATGGTTGGCGGCATCCGGTTTCGGATTTATCTGTCACTGTGGCCAGCCACAGAACGCCTGCGCCTACAGAGGGACCACGGGTGGCTTGCGCTGCACCACCCCAGCTCCAACCACACACCCCATATCCAGTGTAAACCCGAAGGAATAAGACCGGGAGGCATGTGGATGGGAGCCACGTTTTATCAACGGAGCCGGCACACACTCCTTCACAGGCAAACACAAGCACGCTGTATTTGGGAAATCAAGCGCACACAAGGTGGTGGCTGGACCGTAGTCCGCTCCACACTGAGTGCATGGAAACACTCTTCGAGCCTAGCACGGCCACAACGACCGTGCGCCCCGTCCCCTCCAGCAACGACCAACTGTCTCCTGGAGCCAGTATGGACGAGGTAGTGGGTAATAGACAGGTAGGCACCTTGTCAACATGCACATCAAGCGCAGCCACACCGGGGATATCAAGCAACAGCCAATCACCTGGAACGACAAGATGAAATAAAACAAATCCAATAATGCATACAGATACGGTGGCATAACACTTTGCGCACCATATATATATATATATATATATATATATATATATACAATACAAATGCTGTGGTACAGATATTGTGCCACCGGAATCATGAACGGCTTCTCCATGTTGTAGGCTGTTCACCAGATCGTTTCTTCCAGCCCTGTCCAGCAACCGAAAACAACGCACGACGGGGGTAACGCTGGACATGCATGCGCAATACGTGTCCCAACAACCGCAGTTGATGCAGTGAGATGAGCTCTTCGAGCGAGTGGCTTCCACGTCCCAAGACACGCAGTCTAACTTCCACCTTGCTTACGTGGCGCTGCCACCACACACGGGAAATGGACCGCAGTCAACGGTGCTCGCAGACGGATAGACTGTGCAAGTCATCTTTACGAATGGGTCAGGTCTCGCATCCGTACAACAGTACAGCACGAACAGTTGCACAATAGACCCGCCCTTTGATGGAGAGGCGAATGTAGTGGCGAAGCCACAAATGCCTCAGCATAGATAATGTGAGGCCTGCTCTCGCGATGCGTATCGAAATCACGTCTCCAAAAGCCCCGCCAGCAGTGATGCAACTTCCCAAGTAGAAAAAGCTCTCCACAAACTCTATTGTCTGACCAGCAAGCGAGAGTGCAGGTATAGGTATGTTAATGGCTTAGTAGGTTACTACTCGACTAGTTGGCGGATTGAAAATATCAGAAGGTGTGCACTAACAAAAATGAAGTATAATGTTGAGGCGTGTTCGTTGTGTATAATTACAGTTAAGATATAAGAAGGAGAGGCCGGCCCTAAGAATACAATGTACGAAAAAAATTTAATAGTGTCGCTCAAAAATAAAGTAATGAGAAAGTGGTGACTTATCTCAGAGCACAAATCCTGTTCGTGGAGAATTGCAGGTCGCGACCAGTTCAGTCGTGTGATGATTGTCTTGTCGTCGTGGGCGTAGCGCATTTCGTGACGGTTGTCGAAGCACTAGTCGGAACGGTCGTGTGGCGTTCGTTGTACGGGAGTAACATTGTAGTCGGTCGGGAGTTGTTTTTGTCGATGTACTATACTGTTTATATAATGCTTCGTTCGGGGATTCAAACATGTGGACCGTAAGTGGTACGATGGGTGAATGTAGGACAAGAGGAATTTAATTACACAATGTGAGAATGTGGTATCCAAGACAATCTCGGTAAGACTGAAACAGTTTTGTTATGTTGACCTCGTTTGTGATGTAGGTCAAGCGAGACTTAATTACACGATGTGAGGATGTGGTGTCCAAGGCAATCTCGATAAGAATGTACTAGTTTTGTTATGTTGACCTCGTTTGTGCGGCAGGTCAAGCGAGACTTAATTACACATGCACATGATGATAAAACCTTCCGTTCCGAAGATAGTGCAACGGAAGAAAAGTTCATGTGGAATGCAATCTCACAAGTGCGACGAAATAAAACTTCATATGGGATTTGATCTCACAATACCCTCCTCCTTGAAAAAGGGTGTGCATCGGAGGCTGAGTTGTGTCAGCCTGCAACAAATGGTCAGGCCAATATACCTGTCTTCCAGATCGCGTGGTGCGTTCTTGATTTCGTCCCGGAATTGTGGTTGGTCGTGTATTGTCGATCGTCGGCGTCTTGGCCTTATCAGTGCGTGTTGGATCTTTGTCCGTGTGGTATGTCTCCACTGAATCCGTATACGCCGGTTTCAAACAATCTATGCTGATAGTATCAGGTTTGCCACGCCATAGAATGGTGAAGTATTTCTCTTGGCGTGAAAGTACCGGAAATGGGCCCTCATAAGGAAGTTGTAAAAGTTGTTTTACCCGGTCAGTGAGAATGAAAACATGGGTACAGGTCGAAAGTTCTGGAGGAATGTGGGGTAGTTTCGTTGTGAAAGTGGATGCGCAGTATTGTAGTTTGCTCATGTGCGTTTTCAGACGAGCCACATACGTTGGAGGGTCACTGAGTACTGCTGTGTCGGGTGTGAAAAATTGGCCGGGTATACGTAATGTTGTGCCAAAGACCAACTCAGCCGGTTAACAGTTCAGTGTTGTGCGAAACATCGTGCGTATGTGAAGTAGGATGAGTGGGAGTTGTTCTGTCCATCTAGCTGAATCGCCGTTTGCTTTGAGAGCGGTTTTTAAGTGTCGATGAAAACGTTCGACTAAACCGTTCGCTTGTGGGTGATAGGCCGTTGTACGTATACGTTTGCAACCGAGTAGTTCGGTCAGTTGATGAAAAAGATGTAACTCGAATTGTGAACTTCGATCAGTGGTTATGTAGGAAGAGACACCGAAAATGGCAATCCTTCTGTTAATCAGTGCGCGAGCAATAGTTTCTGTCGATGTGTCCGCAGTAGGAATGGCTGCAGGCCATCGAGTGAAACGGTCTATACAAGTCAGAATGTATGAATTTCCGTTTGCATGGGGTAGTGGACCAACTATATCAATATGAATATGGTCGAATCTGCGATCAGGTTGTGCGAAAGTACCATCATCAGAGTGCGTATGCCGAACGACCTTAGAATGTTGACACGGTATGCAATGTTTAGCCCATTTGCGTATGTCCACGTTCATATTCGGCCAAACAAAACGTTGCGCTATTAAACGAAGGGTCGCACCGATCCCAGGGTGAGAAACGTTATGGAGAGCGTTAAATATTTCTCTACGCATAGGTTTGGGTACCCATGGTCTGGGGTTATTTGTCGCCATACCACAGTCAATTGTACCTGGGGCCGAAGGTATCGGAAATGGTCGTATCTTCAATGATGAGGATTGGCTATCCGTTTGCGTCGGTAGTGGCATAGCTTTCTGCAGTCGTGCCATGCGTTGGAAATAGAGGAAGGATATACCTGGGGTCTCGTCGACAGCCGGTCGGGACAAGTTATCCGCTACAATATTACTAGCACCAGTTATGTGTCTAATGTCGCACGTGAACTGTGAGATGTAATCGAGATGACGAATCTCACGAGGTGAATAGCGGTCGGGC